ACAGGCCTGGCCTCTTTAGTGTCTCCTCATAGGGAAGCCCCTCCAAACCACTGATCATCCTTGTTGTCCTTCTCTGAACCTTCCCTAGCTTTTCAATATCCTTGAAGGTATGAGGATCATATCCCAGAGGGATGAGGACTGGACCTAGGCGCCGGATTCAAGGTGTGGACACACCACAGATTTATAAAGGGGCATCGTGAGACTTCCTGTTCTGTTCACAAATCCCTCTTAATGGCTGCGTATTCGGTGCTCGTGCACTTTGGTTTCCTCAGTAAGCCCTGGGGAATTCAGAGCTCTCCCAATTTGGCTGGGACGATCTAGTTGGGGATGATCCTGCTTTGAGTGGACACTAAATGATCTCCTGAGCTTCCTTCAAACCCTCATTTTCTACATGATTCTCCTTTCGGGCATGCAGTTTAGCAGCACTTAGGACAACCCCCTTGAGCTGGACTGGGGAGGACTGCTTTGCTGGCTAGGCCTCTGCCCTGAGCATCAAGAAGACTCTCCTTCTGTTCTCACCTCTGCCACTGCCCCACTATGAGACCTTGGTCACGTCACCTCTCCGGGCCTCTTGGTCCCTTGTCTACACAGACTGAGAGCTGTCTGCACTGTGCAGGACGCTGATCTCAGGGGGGTTTCTGGCTACCGTTGTCATATATTGATACCGAGGGTGAGTACTGACATCAATCGGCGCGCACCCACAGAAACCCCTATGACGCTCCCTTGGGGAAGACTCGGGAATGCCCAAGAAGGGCCATTAAACACTGCAGCAATGTACAGGACTGACTTGAGCCACAGCAGGCTGGGCACATGCATCAGTGCCTGGGGTGATATACAGCCTCTCTACTGGTGCGGTAGAGAGAGGAGACCAATGGGATGGCAGAGGGAGCAGGCAGCATCCAGGGCAGCCCTGTCTCTCCCAGCAGATGCCTGTGCAGAGCTCTGTCGGGGGAAGACGGAGGGGAGAGAACTTGCCCTTGGATCACCTCCTTGCTGGCGATTCCTGTAGTCCTGGGGACTTGGAAGGCACGAAGCCTGACTTAGCTTTTTATCCTTAAAGATGCTCCCTCCAAGCAGAGTCAGACAGGCAGGGTGGGGGGCCATGGGCTACTGAAAAAGTGCAATTTAAATCTTCAGGAGCTGGCTGATCCTCCTTGCAGGCCAGCTCTACGGGGACCTGTGACCAGGTCCTGGTTTTCCGTCTCGGTTGTGATCTGCGCCTTTTGCACCGAGGTAAGGGATGTCATCGGGTGGTTTCCATTTAGTGAGGCCAGACGCTCTTGTTCTGGACTGTAAGCAAGGGGGCTCTTTCTCTCTTATCTTCTGTACATAAAGTAAAAACACAGTAAAGAGGACCTGGATGGGATTGGAAAGGAAAAGCGAGAGGGCAAGGATAAAGCTGGCGAGAGGGGCCGTCGTGTTATGAGAAAAGATGGTTTTTGCAACATGCCCTCTTGCAACATGCCATTTTTGTGCAACAGCCGTGCAGTTGAGGGTACGATTGAGATAGATCTCATGGTTTGACGCCATGAGGGAAAATAGCCAAAATAAATTGTCTCCATCTTGCCAAGCCTGGTAAGAAGGAGAAGAAAGGGGTTAAGATGGGGTGGGACTTCTCCCTAACGAAGTCGATGCTTGTTGCCTCTGCTGAAGGATATCTCATTGGCAAAATAGCATTTCTTTCCTCAGTGGTTGTTTAAGAAATGCATTGAGAAGGAGATCTCCCATCCCAGGCATAGCACAGCTTGCTGAAGGCTGTGACAAAAGGATGCTCTCTGGGCCTACAGGTACGAGCCATGGGACTAAGGAAGACGTGGACACATTGGAAAGAGTCCAACAAAGAGCAACAAAAATGATCAGAGGTCCAGGAAACATGAATCACGAGGACGGGCTGAAAGAACTGGGATTAGTTAGTCTGGAGAAGAGAAGACTGGACAGGATTTGATAACAGTCTTCAATACCTGAAGATCAATTTATAAAGAGGATGGTGATAGACTGTTCTCAGTGACTGAAGAGGACAGGATAGGAAATAACAGGCCTATGTTGCAACAAGGGACATTTAGTTTGGAAATTAGGAAGAACTTTCTCCCTGCGAGGGCGGCTCAGCAGTGGAGCAGATTACCTGGAGAGGCTGTGGAAACTTCTCAGCTTTTAAGAGCAGATTAGACAAGTCCTTGGCTGGAGCGATTTGCGCAGGGCTAATCCTGCCCTGAACATGGGGCTGGACAAGAGTGCTATGCCATCCCTATTTCAATACGACTCTATAACTAAAGAGCATAGGGAGAAAATGGATAAACCGCCTTAGTTTGGGTAGAAGAGCAATGGAGCACATGGCAAAAAGAGGGGGAACACTGAAAGAAAAGACACACACTGCACTTTTTTATCTTTATCAAGGCCAAATCGGTTCCAAATTCAGGTAAGTAAAGCCCGATAGTCAAGTTCCAAAATTCGACTGAGGATAGTCCGTACGGTTCTACCACCAGACGAGTCTCCTCCCTTTCAGTCGGGGGCTACGGATACTCCCCAAATCCAGGCAGGCATCCTCCATGTAAGCAAGCCCAGGACCAGAGGCCTTTGGGGTTCAGATGTTCTCTGCCTCGCTTGAGCTCAACCAAAAGGCCAGGAAGGAATCAGAGCTGCACTTATTACAGCCCCTAGTTTGGTAAAAGGCACAAGAGAAAAGCTAGCCGGGGAGGACAAGGCCATCCCCATCTTCCTTAGGTCCCGGCTGTCCCATGCGCTGCGAGAGCAACACGATGGATTGCAACAGCAGGATCTAACCCCACACATGGAGGTGTGCGTTTGGGCTGTACTGTGCGTGCGCGTGTGTGCGAGCATGTATGTGCGTGTGTGTGTTACAGGGCGGGGGCCCCATATGAATTTGTGGGGAGCTGTAAAGTCACCGTAACGGCAAAGGCTCCATCTCCAATTCCTAAATTGTTAGCCTTTTTTGCAAAACGAGCAGGAGGCGAGTCTTAGCAAGCCAGGCGCGTCCCAAACCGGCCGGCAGGTGGCACTGGAGCCGGGCTCAAATCAGTTCCTCCCTGGACGCACCTAAGGGGCTATTTAGGTATAAAAGCTCTCTCCCTAGGATGCAGCCAGTGAATCTGCTGTCTCTCACCGGAGGATGGATTGAGTTCTGCAAGGGGTAGATAGACGATGCTGTCTTCTGGTGTGGATGACTCGGTATTAGGGGGAGAAATCCAGGTGTGCAGTTGCAGCATCTACAGGACGCCCCAGAGGGGGAGAGGAGATGGGTGCAGAGTGAACAAGGAGAAGTATTTAGAAGATGGGGGTCGGCTGGGCTGAGCCCTTTCGCTTCCTCACCTGACCTTGACCCCTGGCTAATGCGGCTGCCCCAGTTCTCTGTAACTGGACCGGCCTCTGAGAGCACCACTCAGCCCTTTTAAGCATCCCTGCAGCCTCAGGCTCAGCTCCTACAAGTCTCACGTTCACGGCTGCCTCTGGTTCTCCTGACTCCTCTTCGGCTTGCCCTGACTGCTCTTGGATCTCCCCTGAAACTCGGCCCCTGGCTCTCTGATTCCTCTGGCTTCTGAGTTTGGCTTTCACCCCAGACTACATCCCTCAGATCTCTGCTTTGCTGATCCAGGCCCGGTAACCCGCACCCCCACCCAGCTGATCTCCTGGTTGCCCATCGGGGGCCTGTCCGCAGGCTTGCATGCCTACGTCCCAACCAAAGCCTCGCACACACTGATCATTACTAATCCAATCTGATGTCTGTCCTCGAAGTGGGTTTGGGCAGAAAGGGAAAATCAAGCTTTAGAGGCGAGGTAATAATGGAGAACATTGATTGTCGGCACATTTTGATCTAGAGCTGCCCCAAATACCAGCCCATGACACCTTGCTGCCATTTCACACTTCTTATAAGGACAAGAGGGGGAAAACTCGGAGCATCTGAAATATAGGCCCCTGGGGCTGGGAGGAGATAGCTGGGTCTGCAAGTCCAGTACTCTGCAGTCACAAGCAAACATTTAGCCAAGAATTGCCCTGAATCGTCACTGCAAATCCTCACGCCCAGCCACGGTCTGCCAAACCAGAAGCACCGGGAACAGGGGCACCTGCAGCCTGCCAGGGGCAAAATCAGAGGAGATACTGCAGTGCCAGGGGACTCGGTTCCTAGCACTCAGAAGACCCAAGGGCGAGGAAGCACGCTGCAATGGAAGACAAACCCCCTGTTGTCCAACTTAGAAAAAATATTCATCCTGACCCCAAATGTGGCAATCGGGCTGATCCCGAGTGGAAGAGCTAGATCCTCTAGGCAGGAACCTCTGGGTTTTTAAGTACTGCAAGGGCATCACCATGTCTCTTCCTGGGATCTCTCGAGCTTATATTAACAACCTTTGCAATAGCAGAGTAGTTGGCTATTGCATTGCTTTACCTGCGGCAGGGTCAGGTGTTGCGTCTTGTGTTGTGCCGGGGCTGATCGTGTCGATTTGCCAAGAGGTTAGGCAATGGATTTGTCTGGGATGGTTTGGATCAGGATGATCCTGCCTCGGATGTGACCTCTGGAGGTCCCTTCCAGCCCCACTTCTGTGTCCCAGTCATAGCTAACCAGCCATAGCTGGGGTCGTTGTCTCGGTGTTTCAGATGAAGAGGATCTCCCATCCCAGAAACCAGTAGCATTCACTGGGGGGGTGAGGGGATGGGTGGGGGACCCTTCCTGGGTGCTTCAGGCCACCGACAAAAACCCTAAGGCACAGGTTATCAGACACCTCCGCAGAGCCGCAACTCCCAAATAAAAGCTACAGGCTTTCAACAGCATTCCCAATGGCTATTCCACAAAGAAAAATACCATTGGCTTCATGGATCAGAAGACCTTGGCCAAAAACACTGGAGCCAAAGCTGGGCACTTCCCCTGCTGGCACCACTCAGGCCGCTATCAGACAATGGCGCAGGGTAGTGACGGGACCTGGCTCCGGCAATTAATAAAAATTGTCACGGTTTCTGTCAGCTGGAGGAGGACGAAGCATTTCCAGGAAGTGAAAGCCAAGAGACAGGGTTGGATGGCCTCCTACCCCTGGCAATGAAGAACAAGGTAAAAACTGGGTATTGATTGCTGATCCTGATATTTGCTGGGGGGTTACAGAGAGTGCACAGACCTCTTGCAAAGCTAAACTCATGAGCTGGGCGTTTCTAATATGGGGGGTGTCATTTAAGAGGATTTCCAGGGTGGGGGTGTTGAGAAACAGCGCTCTGACTTCCAAGTTTAAGGAGCTGCTGGCTTGCAGATAGCTCTCAGGAAGCGCGTGACCGGGTTCTTGTTCTTGGTTTCAGTTTGGTTTCGGCGTCTTGCCCAAAGGTGGGTGAAGGTAACTTTCTATTTGAGGACAGGCCTTTGTAGACGTTGGGAGTCGTTCTGGGCTTTGAGAAAAGCCAGAACAGTTTCTGCAACTGCAACTTCAGGAAGGGCTTGAAAGCAGGGCAGGAGGCACAGCCAGGACCCAGCAACGAATCTCTCCCACGGATCAGTGCAGGATTTCAGGCTTGGGCTTTTCGGGCCACCTGAGGAAATTAAGCCCCCCAGGTCCTCTTGAATTAGGGCCTTGATTCTGGTTGGCTTTGACCAGCCCAGTCTCCTGCTGCAAAAGTTGAGCCGGATCTTCGTAGGGGGTTGGGCCGCACCATAGGCAGAGCTGTAAGAGGCTGAGGATGGTGTGGAGAGCCCACTCCCCTTGGATGGGGCCCACAGCACGTGGCGCACCTGGAAGGAGAGCTCTCCGTGCTTGCCTTCTGCAGAGACTACATTAGCCTCCCTGAAGGCCCTCCATAGCCTTCGGGGTTGGGCTCCGTGGATGCAAACATCCAGGTGACTCATTTACAGACAGCTCGACTGGCTGCAGGTAGCAGAGCCACAGCCATCTGCATCGCGGTCCTTTCCTCGCTCGGAGCAAAGCAGGTATCGCTACCTTCAGCCTGCACGTGGCACCCAGGCCTGTAGCATCTTAGCATCTCGCAGGCTGCAAGAGCACCTTAGCCTCTCCCATGCCCAGGGAGAGAGGCTGGGGCTGTTAGCCCTGCTTGGCAGCTGTGCCACAGAGGGGCTAAGTGACTTGCCCAACACCCTCCAAAAAGCCTGTGGCGCAGCAGGGAACCAAACTGCAGGCTCCTGAGCCCAGCTATGTGTGTGACCCTGCCTGGGCTGCCCTTGTAGGTCACACCTGTATGTCCTGAGCACGGGGGACAAAACTCGGCAGCTTGAGCTGCAGGACATGAGTCCTGATTCAGAGAAGTGCTTACACACAGCCTTAGATCTCAGGGGCTGAACTGGTGCTCGCACGCTGCCTCGACTTGGGGCAGGTCCCTCGAGCAAGGCCTGAAGCTGGTAGCTGTGAAGCGGGGCAGGGGCTATGCCCTGTGGGTCTCGCACACCGGACGCTCGGTTCCCTCAAGGGCAGATCCAGGATTCCCCAAAGGGAAATTTCACTGCAGGGATGGCTCTTCCCTGCTTCCAGCCTCCTCTGCCCCCACCAGTGAGGACATACCACCCTCTGGAGTCTCCAGGGACTTTTTTAAGTCCCTAAAGCAGGTGAAAATCCCCCCCTCTCCTTCTCTTCCTTGCCTTTCCTGGCTGTTTCAGGAGTTGGGGAAGCACCAGAGCTGTTCTTGCCCCCCCCGCCACCAGCCAGACCGTGCTGTGGCTGGGTTCATCTGGGGATGGGGGGAGAGGGAGATTTTCACCTCCATTAAAGGGCTAAAAAAGTCCCAGGAGGCTCCCACAGTGTGGTCAAATCCAAGAGTGGGGATGCAGCTGCACCACTGCACCCCATGTGCATCCATCCCTGACGTCCCTAATCCCTGGCTGGTGCATGTAAGCACAAACCAGACCCAGCAGCCATGAGCAAATCCTGCACCTTTGCCTGTTTCGTGGTGAGACAGAAGCCAGGGCACGTGGCCGTTGGCTACAGCATGATATCAGAGCAGAAATCAGGTGTTTTGGTCTGACATCCTTTGCAGTAGCAGAGTAGTCGGCTATCGTGTTGCTTTACCTGTGGCAGGTTCAGACGTTGTGTCTTGTATTGTGCCAGGGTTGATCATGACATTTTGCCAAGAGGTTAGGCAATGGATTTGTCTGGGATGGTTTGGATCGGGATGATCCTGCCTCAGGCAGGGGTTGGACTAGATGTGACCTCTGGAGGTCCCTTCCAGCCCCACTTCTGTGTGTCCCAGTCATAGCTAACCAGCCATAGCTGGGGCTGTTGTTTCAGTGTTTCAGATGACCCAATGACCCAATTTGAAGGTCATTCCTAATCCGATAACTGGCATGAAGGGTGAGGAGCCTGTAACAGAGCCCTCTGCTGAGGTTTTTGTAAGTGCAAATTCATACATCCAGTGAAAGGAATAGAAAGGGAAGGATTCTTTCAGGTACATGCCTAAAAACCAGACCCATCCAAGGGTTTGGGAGTTGCCATCCTGCCCAACAGCCTCGCTCTTCTGTCCAAGATGAACTGAGCCTTTAAAGGAGTTTGGGCCAAGTTACGCTGGGGTTTGGTTTCCTGCCGGAGCTGGAAAACCGGGGCGTTCCCAAGTGATGAGAGAGAGCAGGTGGGAGGCGTCACATGCCCAGGAGCTGATGGCTGTGAGCTGGAAGCCATGCCTGGGGGGGCCACTGTCTCCTGTTAGTAGGAGATGAGCAAGGTGTGAACAAAGGCAAGACATCAGGAGAAAAGCAGCGGGCGTATGCAGCTCCTCGTGCAGGGGAGCTGGGCCAGCACTGAGGTTAGCGGGCAGCCCAGCTGGTGAAGTTGGGATACGAGGATGGCTGGGAAGCCTGAGCAAAGGGGCCGGAGAAGAGCCAGAAAACCCTGTCGCAAGAGGGCTGGGTTACTTGTGTGCAAATGCCCTTGATCTGGATGCTGCGGGTGGAGGGTCTGCTGGAAACGATAGCGGAGAGGTGTTGAGCGGCAGCACAGGGCCGAACGACATGCAGCCGAGTGGTGACGCTCCCACTCTGTGGGGTGGGACCTTTCACCCAAAATGCAAGTGTATATTCCTAGCAAAGTAGTATTTTGTGTGAGCAGAAGAATCGTTTGAGTGGGCAATCCCCAGGCCGGCAGTCCTGGCCAACTTCAGGGGCCCCTCTGGGCACCCGAACCACTAAAGGGAGACCAAGGACTGCAGTAAGGACATGAGAGGGCTCTTCCCACAGCCCCATGCTCCCTGTTGGTTTTGAGCTGTTGGCCACAGTGGCTACCCACTTGATTTGGTAGTGTAGGTACATTAAAGCTTTGCATTTCCAAAGCATGGGTGCAATTTCCCTTCTGTCTTTTGGTCAGTCCGGTAGCCAAACTACTTGGCTGGAAGCTCAGAGCAGAGATCTGCTGCGCAGGAATGGGGCTGTTGTCCCTATTCAGACATACAGGAGGCCTCGTCACACTAAAGGGCGGTGGTGGCTGAGTCCCCCCGGGATGGGTCTAAGCTTTTGCCCTGGGTGCTCCACTGGCCCATCTCTCTGCATGGGTTACAGTGATGCACCTATCATGCACATGCACACAGGTGCTCCCACGGTGATGTCTTCCTCCTCCGAACAATCAGGGATCTATTACCGTTTGCCAGCTTTGGGCTTTCCACCCTTCTGTTTCCCTGTTCTGGCCCTCTCCAGGCTGCTTTCCATGCAGCCGCCACTGCAGTGGGGCCTATTGCTCGACTACAGCCTCCTGCTAGCCAGCAGGATCAGGTTTGCCAAGTGCTGTCTAAAGGTGGCAGATCAAAGGAAGAGGAGGCTGGAAATCTTATTCACTGCAGGGTAAAACATGACTCAGAGCCAGGGAAATCTCCTTTCATGGGCAAGGCTCCGAGTGCGGGGTGGATTGCAATAGCAATTGCAGCAGGCTTCAGGAGGGAAGATCCCCTATTAGCCTGGCAGAGGCTGATGATATGTGAGAGGATGTGATGTTACCTTGCCCCACCTGAGAGTCGTGCCTTAGAGGCATTTTTAGCTTCTCCAGCCAGCCGCTGGATTTAAGACTAGGAAACAGATCCATTGTTATGAGCCAGAGCCTCAATGCAAGAGCCAAAGGTTTTCAGGGATGTCCCAGGCCAGCACTTGGCTTTAAAGCCACGTCTTCTTGTCACTTCTGTTCAACATCCTTCTCCTCATCGTGCTTCTTGACCACTGCAATTTCTTCCTCTCTGGGCTTGACACCAGCCTCGGGGCTTTCCCTTACGTTCACTCCATATGCTGCACCTGGGACTTAATTTTTTACTCCACCTGCAGCCAGTACCACAGCCCTGGATGGTGCAGCTGTAGAGAGGAGCCCAAACAGAACCTCCTGGTCTTCATTTTAGGTCCCTGGTCGTTCTGCTCTACTTCATCCGTACAATTGACTGGATCCGGGGTGTCAAAGATATGACTGGATCCAACCCATGGAGTGGACTGGCTGTTGCATGCACTGCAGTTGTGGACCAGCCAGAGTGAGCACCATGTCCGCTGGATCCCGTGCAGAAGGCACAGCTCCTTTGGCCTGATCCAGCCCATGGGGCTAGCCATTCATGGGATCCAGCCCATGGCTAGGCCATTCATCTGGCCTATGGACCAGCTGCACCCCACTCATCCAGTCTGCTGGGCCAGGTGTGTTTGATACCCCTGGACTAGCTGACCGCTTGCCTCGGCCTTGCCAAAGAAGGTGGTAGCCTGAATTGCCTTCCTGTCTGCTTCTCCTGAAGCGCATCCATGATCAAGCCGGGCTTTTTCACTGTGAAACAAGGGAAAAAACACCCCATCAAAACACAAACAGTTGCCACCCCCTTCCCCCAACCTACCTCTGCCGGGAAGACCATGAACCACTGCTGGTTGCCGCTGGTTTGGGAGGAGGTAAGTTATGACTTCCACTTCACTGTTGAACTGTCTGTTTAATCTGTGTTTATTCCTTCTTCCCAGCCCCATCTGCCCTGGAGGCTGCCAGTTCTCTGAGGTGGGGTAATTCTCGTTGTTAATCCGTACAGCACCAAGCACAAAGGGGCCATGACCCTCGAGTCGGTACCATAGCATGAATAACATGGTAGCAGCACAGTCCAATGTCCTGCCTGGGAGGGATAGCAACTTAGCTTCCAGGGTGCAAATACTGCAGTAATTAACTTTCCTACGCAGGTTGTTAATCGTCTGGAGTCCAGGCAAGTGCTCTCCGTAACCACGGATAGGATGGAGTTTGATCACATGTGCATCATTTGATCATGCGTGCATCCTTGGATCATGCATGCATCATTTGATCACACGTACATCATTGGATCGCGTGCATCATTTGATCACGTGTGCATCGTTGAATCACGTGCATCATTTGATCATGCGTGCATTGTTGGATCACATGTGCATCATTTACATTTTTTTAAGCGCAGTTTTAAGAAGCCAAGCAATCTCTGCTCTTCGGTACAGAAGATGACTTGGAAGGTCTCTCCTTTACTGTGCGATCAGCTCCTTGAGGCAGTCCGTGATGCATTAGTGTTATAGGAGATCTCCCCTCAGCGCGATACCACTGCTGAGGCCTCCTGAATCCATCACGTCTGACCAGCTTCCCTTCTGTCCTCCCAAAATAGCCCTTGGAAGAGATGGAAGCAAAGAAGGACAATCTGAGGCACTAATCAGTACAGAGAGCCTCAGAGTCTTGCTTAAAGTTTGCAGTAGTTCCTGTTTGTGGTCAATTATGAAGGAAATATTCAGGATAGCTAATTGCATCACTAATGGAGCGAGGGCAAGGAGAAGAGAAAGAGAGAGCACAGCTGAGTGGTGTGTGTGTGTGTTTGTTACTAAGTATATCCTCCAGATTTCATTAGTGTCAGATAAAAACTCGTTTTATTTTCTAAATGAAGATCTAATAGTGTCCTGAGCAGACCGATTCCAGCCACTTCTGCAGCCTGGAGGTACAGAAATATCAAGGGGACATCCAAAGAGCATGTAGCATTTGCCTAATTTTGCTCCCAGGGGAACAGCCCTCCTGGGTTTTGGAGGCCTGCTGTTTGTCACTGGCAACCACGTCATCCTGCATGTCTTGAATGGATCGAGCTCCATCTTAACCATGGTGAAGCTGGCTTTTCCCCCACTGTTTCTCCTGGGAATGCGATAAAAACGCTTCTCATTCCCAACCTAATCTTGTTCATACCCATTTGTTCTTGGGTCAACAAGACCTTTTTAGCTTTAATAGCTCTTCTCCCATCCCAGGGCCTGTTCCTCTAGTGCACTTGTAGACATCCATCCTGTTCCCTCTCAGCCTGCATATTGCAAGGTTAAACGAGTCAAGCTTTTCTAGTCACCTCTCAGAAGATCAGTTCTCCAGATCCTGGATCATCCTGGTAGCCTCTTCTCCGCACCTGTTGCAGCCTGAGCTCACCCATCATGAACACAAGCCACTGAAGCTACCTCAAGTGAAGCTGGAAGCAGTTAGGGTTTGATCCAAGGAAGGATGGATGTGGCAAGAGGCCCCTGCGCCTGGGTGCAGGTCACCCTAAAGCCATGCTGTGTGCTCACTGACAGCATCGCTGTTGGCCACAGCGGGGCACACAGCATTTACAGACCTCATGCAAAAGCAAAGGGGGGCCAGCCTGAACCTGCTTCATCTTAGACAAGCTACAGGTGGGACAGGGAGTGCCCAGGTGCAGGAGAAAAGGGCTGACAGTAGGGAAACTCTGGACCTCAATCTTCCTCTGGGGCTCTCCAAGCCATCCCTGCTTTTCCCCCAGCACCTCTGTAGCCTCCCAACTCGTCAGTGCTCATGTTGGGTTGCTTATCTTACTGTGCAGGTCTGAACTAATTCACTGCATTGCAAATAGCCCAGCAAACACGGATGAGCGATAGGACCTGTATCACTCACCTCGGATACCACGAGAACCTCTTTCCAGGTTCTGCAGCCCCCCGCTAGGCCCGTCCTCAAATCCACAGGCACATGCTGCTGTTCGAACTCATGCCATTTGGTTCCCTCCAGGCCTTTTGAGCAAGCTAAAGGGACGGAAGTATCTCTTGAGTTTTCTAGACTACAGCATGTGTCTTCCTTTGATGCTCTTGCCATGCCCGTGGCATTATGGCAAAGGACGTGTCTTCTGCAGTCTAGCAGTACAGACAGGACAAGTGACTTCACACCTATAAAACAAGCAAGGAAAACATTACCCCCCCCCCGCCTTCGTTATGGACAAGAGTTCCCTAAAAGTAGCTGCTCCACAGCTCATTTTAGGAGGAAATCACAAAGTGGCTGCTGAAGACTTAACACCACAAAAGAATATAAGAATTGCCGTCTACTGGGTCCATTTACCGTATGTCCATCTTGCCTGTAACACAGGGACAGAAAGGGAGAGCAGACTGGGTCTGACCAGGGTTTTTCCCCCTGTTCCTCTCTCGCTTGCAGCCTCCAGCATTTATGGTCTAGAAAGATCTACATCAGAGGCTGTACCCCTAACTCCTTTCCTCCAAGAACGTGTCCAGTCCCTTTTTGAACCTGATTAAGCTGCCGGCTTCCACCGCATCTGGTGGCCGTGAGTCCCACCCTGGGTGAAAAAGGGCTTCCTTTTGTTAGCTTTAAACTTACAACCTACTCATTTCATTGTGACCCCTAGTTCTTGTAGGAGATAGTAAATAATAAATCCCTATTGATTTCTTTTCCCTGTTTTGTAGACCCTTATCAGGTCCCCAAACCTTTTAAAACTGAATAGGCCTGGCCTCTCTCCTCATATGGAAACCTTTCCATGCCACTCATCATCCTTGTTGCCCTTCTTCTGTATCCTTTTTGAGGGGTGGGCACAAGAGTCAAGGTGTGGATGCACCCTGGGTTTATAAAGGGGGCACGATGATACTACCACATAGCTCACTGTTGGAAGTATTACTGCTTCACCAGGAAAGCAGAGGGGAGGGGGTGATATTTCTACTGGATTTTTGGCCAATTCGTGATTTTATGAAGAGACCCTGCAAAGCGTTTTATTCCTTCAATATAAGGGGAATATCCAGCTCTGGGAACAGAGGAGATGGGACTAGAGGGAGCTCTTGGGGCACTAGCTCCCATCCTTGCTATGGCATGCATACACGTCCCATCACCCTGATAAATGTATCACACTTTGTTTTTATCCTGTCTCGATCTTTTTTTTTTGATTAGAGAGCCCTAGGCTCTTCCCGGTGTTCAACTATTTACCAAAAAAATGCTTTCCTCCCAAGAGGCTGTCGGGAGTTTGAATGAAACGGATATTTAACAAAGCAATAACCAGAACAGCAAAAAAGCATGTCTACTCTGCTAATCAAACAGTCAAGCTCTTGAATTGGACATCATCTTTCCATAGAAAAATTCACAAAATTAGGCGAACCTGGACTTGATTATTCTAATGCAAAAACAAGCAAACCCCTCGCTCTGTTTAACAGGGGAAAAACCCTCAATCTGTATATATCCCCTAAAAAAAACAACAAGTAGCTTCATAGTTTCTAATTTCTAGGGTCGGAAGGGACCTCCACAGATCATCAAGCCCGACCCCCAAATAGCTCAAAAAAAAATGGACAAAATTACGAGGCAGCTACTGGGAATCCTGGGAATGTTATTTCTCCTTTTTCTTTTCAAAATGAAAACAGGAACAACTTCAGCTAGCTGGAGAGCAGATTTTAAAAATGTCTCAAATCTTTTTCTTTTTTTTAAGTTGACATTTCAGTGACGTTTGAAAAATTTCAGCCAACTCTTTCAAACACCATTTTTTCCCACCTCAGCTAGTGCCTTTAGGAGCATCTGCATGTATTTTAATTTTTTTTTTTTTAGCTACTTGAAAATAAGCATGTGAAGAGCACACACCTGTCACCGTTACGTATTACTGAAAGCAGCCGAAAGGGGTCAGCTGTTAGCCTCCCGAAAGCGAGAGGACTGAACCAGAAGCATGTATGCTCTTGGGCCAGGGCGAAAACTTTTATTTGCATGTTAGAAGAAGCAAAATTACATAAGTCCTATGTCACGCGCTCTTCTCGCTTCCTGCAGGTTTGTTTGTGAGTGGGGGGGTTTTTCTCTCTCTCGGCACATTGGGCTGTAAAGAAGCAAAGGAAATGGGAAGTGGCAAAAGAAAAAAACAAGTTTAAATTATTTGTGAAGTCACAGCTTGAGGGTTTGTTTTTTTTTTAATGGCTTGAAAAGCTTGGGTGACCGATTGACGAGACTCTAATAACGCCCTTGGTTTTTAGTTAGGGTGTTGGCATGCCGTAATTCGGATTGCGGCTTTGAGAAAGTAGATGCGAAAGTCTTACACCCGGCAGATTCAAACCAGCCCTCCTACGACATTATGATCATGAGCCGTTTCTGCCTTGATGTCAGCCACCGGCATTCTTGCTTTACCTATGCAATGGGGTAGCAAATCCAGGGCTTTGCACAGGACAGCGACCGTGGGAATAGGATACAGATCCTCTCTTTTGGACTGTTTAATACAGGTGCCTCTTCAGCTGAAGTTAGCCTTTACTAGCACAGGTCTTTGGGCTGACAGATGAGCCCCGAGCGGATGTGCGAGATGCCAAACAGCAATATGCAGGCACGCAGAATGAAGACTTGTGAATCTTTTCGGCTGTAATTAAAATGAAACCCGGCACGATTGGATGAAAGTGAAAATTGCCAGCGAGGCGGCGGTGCTATAAATAAAATGGATGCTCAGAACTCGCAGCCTGCTGGAATCGCAGTCACCGCAGGGAATGACACCTCTGTAATTGCCCTGTCATTTTTTTTTTCCAGCAGGCGCTTGGCAAAGGAGATGTGCTGCCCGATCCCTCTGCTCATGTTCAGCACTGCCGAAAAAGAAGGCCTGCTACCCGGGACGGGGATGGATTTACCATGAGAACGTATGGGTCTAAGGAAAGAAGTTTTAGCTTTCTCTCTCTCTCGTTCGATTGCTGACTGTTTTGTCTTGTGCAAAGGCCGAGATCACACACCGCATTCGCATGGCAACATAGGAAATCAGTCACTGGGCGTTGCCATGGCAACTGGAGGGGAAATCCATCTTATCACAGTCCATCGCATCCTTTCCAGGAAATGCACAGAAAGTCTAGAAGAATGCAACAGCAGAAAATGATACTTGTATTTAAAAGTGCGAGCTTGCTGGACCGTGCGTGTGGGCGATCAGTTGTTTTGCAGGGAATAAGGTCCGTCCCGGGGAGCAGAAGTCTTTGTTCCCATGATGCCTTCGTTGGTACCCTTACAGCATCTCTGACTGCATTGAAACCTGTGTTTCCATGCCAAGCTCAGGAAAAGTTGCAGCCATACAGAAATCCTAGCAAGTCCCAGGCAGGGCAACTGATTCAGACTGAAAGGTTCAAGCCAGACCTTCCCCTGGTGCGAATGACTGTAGTTTCGTTGGCACTCTGATGATTTATACTGCAGGTCCATGATCCAGCCCTGGGAGCTTTTTAAAAGTCCAGCATTACATACTAAGTTGGTCAAAATAATCATTTACAACATGGCTCCATGCTCCGTAGTCCCACGTGGGCTGGGAGCCCTTGCAGAGATACGCAAGGCGAGGGAAGGGCTTGCGGTGACAAGGCAGGAAGGAGAGTGCTTGGTCTCCAGTTCTGCATTTGTCTCTGCTTTTCTTCAGTGCCAGGCGCTTACCCGCTCTGCTTCCGTTTCCTCATTGTGACTAACCAGAATGGTGGCCTGCCTCCTAGGTTTAATGAGCCTTTTTGCATTCAGCTTGCAAAATGCTTTGAGACCTCTGCATCTCTCAATGGGTTTTTTTCACCCAATGTGCTGCTACTATATCATTGCATGGGTCTAGCAGGTATATAAATGAAGCCTTACATTTCTAGGGCGTAGGTCAGAAATCTGTTGCTAATGAGATGGTGGCAGGTGTTAAGTGCTCAAGCAATTACTAGGTGACACGTGCTTATCAAAATGCAAATAGAAGATGCCACGTGAGAGTGGCACCTGTGGTTCAGGGGTTGAGCCTTTGCAGCAAGTTGCGGCTGTGCTCGTGTGTCTATACAACAAGGGTGTTGATAAGGACCAAATCTAGTAGCTGCCTACCCCTCCCAATCCATGGTGTGGGTACCACCAGTGGTACGCAGACAACCTGTCGGTGGTATGTGTGAACATATTTATTATAATTATTTTAGATGACAAAACTTTGCTGGCAGTACTGAAGGTTGAACTGAAACTTTTGCTGGTGGGACTTAAGGTTGTATTGGTTTAAACTGGTGGCACGCAATCCGAGTTTGGGAACCACTGACTTAACCAAAACCTCAATCCCCTGCTAGTGGCAGGAAAGGAGAAAGTGTTCGTTCTAAGTAGAAGGCTGTTATAGCCCAAGAAGACAGCCGCTAGACGGACACATCATCACATGTGCTAACCCAATGCATTCAGCTGGGCTATTATGGCTGGCACTCACTGGGAGGCCTTACGGCGGGGCTATTACGCCTGCCACTCAGTGGATGCCATTGGTTTGGAAAGCCATTAGTCTGGACACGTCACCCCCATCCAAAAAGGGATGAGCTCAAACCAAGAATCAGCTTGTTTCATAGAGAAGTCAGGCTGGAAGGGACCTCTGGAGGCCATCTAGTCCAACATCCTGCAGTCTGACCATGGGGGAAATTCCTTCCTGACCCCAAATGTGATGCTGAGTCTGACCCTAATTGCAGAGACAAGACCCCCTAGCCAGAAACCTCTGGGTTTTAGTCCCAGCAGAGCATTGGCACAGCCCAGGCTCCATCCAACACCCAACACCCCTGAGAATGGCAAAATGTGTTAATTCTTTGAAGACTGAAGGCTGAGAAGGGATGGAGGGGCTGTCTATGAACAGATCCGCAGGTTAAACACCAGGGAGGGAGCAAGGTATTCAGCCAAAAAGGCAACCCTGGTGCAAGAGCAGATGGGCATGACCTGGCCCTGATAAAGTTGAGGAAGGGAACGGGAAGTGGTTGGGTGCTCTCAGAGATGGTGAGGGTCCGGAGCAGCCTGCCAGCAGCAGCAGTCAGGGAGGGAACCTGATTATTTCTAAAATGAGTTTGGATCATCTTGAGAATGAGGTTATGGGACGTGCAAGAGATTAGACCAGGTCACACAGGTCATCCCTTTCCATGCTGGTGTGTCAGCAGTTACAGGCCTGGGTCCCTACCCGGGCTACATGTCAGCGGTTACACACCTGGGATCAGAAAGTGGCTGAGACCATTTGGAGACACAGGCCAAGGCTTATAATGTATGAGGACTGGACTGTGAGACCACCTGAGCCCCCAAACATATAACGGTCCCTTTATTTAGTGACTCTCTAAGCTTAATGGGTCTTTTGGGGCACAAAGCACTGCTCAAAATTGAGCTCCAGGAACCTCAGGGAAGGCGTATGCCCTACCTGCTTACACATGTGCGTGCACATGCACCCACAGAGCCTGGAAATGCAGAGGTGAGCCTGCTCCAGAGGTGCCCTCTGAAGCTACCCCTAAACCTCCCGTCTCAGGCATGCTTGAGAGTCTCCACCCTTGGAGCGACTTGGCTGTACGTCTAGGATTGGCACGGGTGACTGAGAGTGCATGAGCAGGGCCCAGGTGGGAGCCTTGGCCTGGAGACATGGTGCAGACACCCAAACCAAAAGCTCTTTCTGAAAACACCAGTGTTAGTAGAGCACTTCCCTTGTAAAACCTTCGTGATTGCGATGCATCGGTAGCCACAGAGCGGTAAGAGGTCCCAGTCGGCGCCCCTGGAGCTGGGCATCTGACAGGCGGGTAAATGGGCAGTCTGGGACTCAGAGATGTGATGCTTGCAGAAATATCTGTGCTTCCCTGCATTCCTGGCAGCCTGTCTCCCCACTCCAGAGCAGGGGCGATGCCTTCTAGCAAGGCATCACCACACCCCACCTTGTTCCTTCTCCCTACCACCTTTATTGTTAATCAGATTCCCAACCAGCTCCATATGTTGCCTGAGCCAAGCTGATTAACATACAGGTAGCTTTCATTAAGAGTGTTAATAGAGCTGCTGTATACAAAAAGGCCCCTGATTTCCCTGGGAATTTTGGTCCGCAGCCCCCAAATGATCCAGGAGCCGGTGGCTCAGATGAGCCATTTTGAACCACCCAAACCTGCCACATTCAGCAAAAATCCCAAAAGAGGGGGAAATATGCAGTAGATTCTACCTCCGGTGTCAATAGTATCTGAAAAGAACAAATGCAATTTTTTTTTTGCCTTTGCTCCTGGTGCCTGCAATTTTGCAGGTGCAAACAATTATCCTGATGCACAATTTAAGTTATTTAGACTTCCAAATACCTGATCTGTTGATGTAATCAGGTACTGACAGCTGAACTGGGGTTATTTTTAGGTGCATATATTGGGCAGAAAAAAATATTACAAAAAAACCCCAAACTCCTTTATAAAGCAGTACTTCCCTATGGTACCGTCTTCTTTGCAAGTGTCCCCTTTTGAAGCTTTCATATCGTGGAAAGATTCTCATCGGCCACTTTAGATGATATTATTTTAAAATTTAATTCAATCTTTTTTATAAAGGCAAATAGCATAAACCAACCTCCTTAACTCTGCCCACGCGGTACATGTAGCTGCTCCAGCTAATGCCCATAAAACATGTTTGCAAGGCATATTTTTCTTTGTCAGTGAGGAAGGGAGACATATGAAGGCCAGGCTTTCCATGGGCAGGTACCTGCTGGCATGCACACAAGTGCAGATTCTGCCTCTAAGCGCGCACATTTTGTGAGTGGTCCAAATCGAGTCCCTTTTGAAGAGGTGGATTTGACTCCTCAGTTCAGATCACCTGGGCAATCCCTATTCTCCCCCTTACTGCAAGACTTGGCTCTGCCCTCAGGGAGACGTACTTTAGAGAGAGCAAGACCATGTCTAGCACCTGGGTCTACGCACCGCTCCTGTTGCACGAGCGGAAATGCTACGTGTCCCCAGGCAGCTGCAACTCCTTGTGTACACGGGATTTGGAAGGAGGAGCGGGATGGGTGGCTAGAACAGGTGAGGAGTTTGCCAGTGAAGCAGTTCTTCCCTGGGAAAATGCATGCTCACTGAAACCGCACGGCTTTATGGAGGTGTGCTGTTTTCAATAGCGAGGCAGGCTGGGTCCCGACAGAAGCATGTGTGCTGGGCTGCGCACTTCATAGCAGGCTGCTGGCTCTGTGGCTGCTGGGGTCAGGCACCTCAGCGCCTCCAGATCCCTGGCTCTGGGCACCACTGCCGTGTAGACTGGGGATTTCTCAGGCCTTCCAGGCTCCCTGCCCAGCATCCAGGCACTTGTCTCCAGTAGGGAGCCCAGCTCAAACAGGGGTATTCAGGGCCCAGCATAGAGCGGGAAGTCAGACCTGAGCTGGTCCCTCAGGGTGTGGAAGCGGTGGCTCCCAGGCAAAATTATTGGATTTAAGTCCTGCCCCCTTCAATTAATTTCCAGACCAGGATGGCTTGGGAGAATCTCCCTCTGGAGAGAAAGGCTGGCATCTCTAATGCCAAATTGAACATAAGTTTCAGAAGTTCTGATCTTTGACCAGCTCTACAACCGTTTCATGAACCTGCTCCCCGCCGCCTCCCTGCTAGCAGCTCCAGGGATGGGATCACATCCCTTGGAGCTCTGCTGTGGGCGAGATAAGCTATGGGCAGGATAAGCGCCCATTTCAGCCTTGCTCTCCAATACTTTTTCTTTGCCTTGCTGTGCTGGACCACGTGCTTTATTGCGGTGTTTCTGTTAACTGTGTTTGCCTTGTTGTTATAATATCGTATGACTCCGGTTACCTCCTTGGCCTTGGCGTGGAGAAGGAGGGGTTACGTGCCCAGGCTGGCTACGGAAAACCTTTAGCCTCAGCAGTCTTGTATGGCTGTGTTGTCAGATCAACAGAGGGGAGGCAGCCAGCACCTGGGAAGTGCTAAAGAGAGAAAAACATGACCAAAGGGAGAGCAGGCTGGAAGACACAGTTTAAAACCAGAAAAGTTTGGGTGGGAGAGATCTGGGGAGCTGGGGAAGACTGGAAGGGAACAGTGGAGTGTTTTTGAGGCTGCTCAGGGCTGCGCCGGCTGGATCGGGGGCAGAGGGACTGCTTTTAATCCCTTGGAGGAGATGGAGGACCTCTGGCTGGGCGGCCCTTGCCCCTTTACTGAAGAGGCTCTCGGCTGTGCTGCTCGGTGCTGTGGCTTCCACTGCGTCACCCTGAGAGGGGGTGAAGTCCGTCTCTCCGGAGGAGCACCGGATGCCAGCTCCTTGCATCAGAGCCACACAGCACCAGGGAAGGTGAAGGACCTCACGGATACCGTCGCAGAGTGGGAAGGAGCTCAGGCTCCCCTCTTGCCCTACAAGCCAAGCCTGAGCTGGCTTCAAGGGGGACTCTCAAGACCGGACAGGGCTCTAGCAGGCCCAAGCGAGCACCCTGCTGGAGGGTGCTCCAGGACGGGGATCGTGGGTGGGATACGCGCCCTTTTCCACTCTGCCTTGCTCATTTCCATCACAGTGGTCAAGAGCTGCCCCATGGCTGGAGCCCTGGACCGGCCCGGAGATCCTCCATCCTATCCACACAACCGCAGGTGGCAGAGGGACAGCTCCCCCGCCGGCTGCAGGGAGCCCCGGGGCGGAGGTGGGGAGGCGTCTGCTGGAGCTCAGAGCTGGCTGGGGGGCACCCGGAGAGGGCCCAGGTGTGGGAGGTTTTGGCGGGGTGGTGGGAGGCTGTGATGGGGGGTGTCCGAGGCTGGGTCTGCTGGATTTCGGGGCCGAGCGCGTCTCCAGGGGTCAAGGCTGGGCTCCAGGGATCCTGATGGGTGGTCAGGGCTGGACGAGGGGGTGTGTGGACAAGGTGCGGGCCAGACCCGGACACAGGCATGGGTGAGCTGGGCGCCCAGACAGAAAGGGGGCCCCAAAATGGTCATTTCCCCCCCATTGTCCCATGATTATTATTATTACCATTATCTCCAGTGAAGGCGGGGCTGATACGAAAAGTTTGCCCAGGGCTGGGAGGAGGCTAGGTGCGGCGCCGCTCAGGGCTGGCCTCCCGGGGACTCGGGGCTGGCTCGGGGTCCAGGTAAGGGTGTGCGTGTGTGTGTGTCTGTGTGTGTGCATGCGTGTGTGTGTGTGCGCGCAAGGGCCCGGAGCGCGCTGCACGTCTGTCCGCTCCGCTCCCCGCGCGGCTCAGCCCCGTCCTGCCCGGGCCCCGGCTCCGCCGCGAAGGGATGTGGATGTAGCTCTTCTTTGCCCGCTGTCCCTCCTCGCCTGGTCCTGCCAAGCAAAGGCAAGCACTCATCCCCCAACCCCATGCCAGTGCTCCCTTTCCAAAACACAGCCCCTCTCCCAAAGCTCAAGTATTTCCACCCCCAACACTTCATGCCTAGCCCCCCAAAGATCCCCTGCCCCCGCGCCGCCCTTCGTGCAGCGATTGTTTTTTTTTTCAAAATACTTTCCGAGGGCTCTTGTGTTTCCGTGCGGTGGCAGGAAGCGACACAGAAAAGTCACCAGAGCAAAGGCGCCTTTGCCGTGGTCCCGGGTGACGAACGTGCAGGGGGAAAACACGGGTGTGGGGGGCAGACGGGAGTGGGTCGGCGTTCCCCTCGGTCGCGGGGGGCTTGGGAACGGGTTTGTGTTTTAAACGAGACCCGCAAGCTCGTTGCTAATAAAGTTAGAGCCTAATCAAGTTTGGGAGGGAGGGATGGAGCCTCAGCAGGCTGGACAGGATGAATGTCCGCTGCCTGGTCCTCGTTGGGTCTAGTCCACGAAAGTCATTGAAAATCCAATTTATCGGTGCACTGTGTTATTCGGGGGTTGGCGTTGGACTCTCCTCTTCTGGCCAGCTTCCCAGCTTCCCGCTGCCCTTGCAAAGATGACAAAGAAGCAGCTTTATTCTGCCCGGCAAACACCCCTCTGCATTGTGACCCAGCCGCTTGGACCTGAGCTGAGCCTGCCTTTCCGTGCTGCAGGAGAGGAAAGGTTAGCCGCGTCCCGAGATGGCAACCTTTCCCTTTCTGCCGGCAGCCTGCTGTCTCCACCGCCGCCCTGATTTATGTATTCATTTGTGCTTATAAACTGGATTTCGCCGAATGCATTTTGAGACTGCGATTTTTAATCCTCTTTTCTGCCATATGGCCGGTGGCTGAACTGAAATATGACTCGATTAATTATTCCGTAGGAAGCGCTAGCCGAAAGCCCTGGCGGTTTTGAAATTGCCTGCATCTCCCGAGTAGGTGTGGCACGCCGGGACCGCTCCGTGCGAAAGCCCGTCTCTAACGCGGTGAAAGAGCCTCAGAGAGCCGGGGTCGACGTGTCGGGTAAGTCAGGGCTGAGAATGAGGCCCTGTGTGTGCTGCTGGGCACTTATTCAGGGGATTATAATGGGTCTTTTCTAATACACCACAAATCTTTTGATTATGGCATTACTGTGTTCGGCGCCGGGCTGCGGTTGGTACCATCCTTTCCCCTACCCCTTTGTTCCCCGTGACCGTCGGTATAAATGAGTCCCGCTAGCCTGCCGATCAATTCTCTAGCAGCCTCCTGACGACCGTCTGCGTAGGTCGCTCCCTCTGCTCTTCCCTTAATTAAGAAGGAGCAAAACAGTATTGATTTCCCTTCCCCCCCCCACTTCCAGAAAACAGACTTCTCTCTCTCCCCCTTTTTTTAAAGCCTTATACACAGTATTCAGCTCTCACTTCAACTGTTTCCTACGGGATTTAGGAGCTGGGCTAGGAGCCGATAGGAAAGGAGCCTGGAATATAAGAGTATTTATCAGGGCACGTGACCCCCATAGCCTGCCAGTGCTTTAATATTTGGACTCTGGCACCAAGGTGTTGGCTGCTGTGCTTTAGGCCGAGGGGTGAGGGAGCACTGAGTTTTGGGGGGGCCTTGTAGGATATCGGGACGGGTGGGCGCTGGGAGGCAGAAATGAAGCAGTCGGAAGATAGGTGGAGTCGGCAGCTAGAGAGCACGGGTCAGGCGTGGGGCTGGTGAGACAGGGAAGCTGAGCTGGGCCCGGGGTGTAAATGGGCTGCAGCGCGATCCATTTGCTTTCCTGCTAATGGCTTTTTAAGGCTGCTGAGCAGCGTTCGGGGGTGCCGGAGGTGGAACTGAAGCTCCTTGTTTGCGGTTGCTACTCTCCGGGCTGTGTGTCGTGCCACCGTGCTTTTCCAGCCCGGCAGTTGCTGTGATGGAGCCTTGCCGAGACAGCTGTAGGCACCAGGGTGTGGTTGTCCACGGGGGGAAAAAAATAAAAGCCAGGGGTGTTAGGTTTCCAGGCTTGCTCATCCCAATTTGTGATCCCTCGTGGTTTTGTCTGAGGAGGGCTGTTCCCCAGCCCCTGCCTGGGCGGCACGAGGTCGCAGCAAGCCCACGGGTAACGCTGGACCACGTTCCACACCTCGCTGTCCGAGAAGGAGCATGGAACAGGCTGGGAGCATAAGCCCTGAAATACCAGACCTTAACAAAGGGCCTTGCTTTTTAGCTGCCTGCAGCATGTGATTAATCCGAAAAGATTGGAGATCAGGTGCGGCACCGGTTCCAGACATCGCGGGCGTCTCTCGGGAGTCCCACTGACAAGGCTCTTCGTCTCAGCTCTCACCAGAGCCTGCAATTTGTTACGAACATATTGAGCCTCGGTCTCTGGATGCAGAGCGCGCCGGAGAAGCCTGCTCCCCCGGGGGCCTGGCATTAACGGGTGTTGCTCTTGTGGATTCGCGCTGCGTTTAGGTGTGGGGAGCCTCCAAGCCTTCCTCCCCTGCTCGTGGTAGGACAGAGGAGGGTACAGTCACGGGAAGCTGCTGGGGAAAGGCAGGTGGGTGTCGCTCTCTGCAGACGAGGCAGCACCCGCATGGGGTAGTGCTTAGAGCCGTCTCCCGACTGGTCCTGGCATTCAAGGAAACCCGGGTAGGATTCATTTACTCGCGCTGCGCTGGCAAAGTGTGAAGGTATCTGCCTGTGGCTCCAGGGCCCTGAGTTCGAGTTCTGCTCCGGACTTGTGCTGAAAGGTGCCCTCGGCCAGCCTTTGAGTGACCTGGTCATCGGGCTGGGGGGGTCAGAGGAGGGTGGGTGCTGTGTGAGCACGTCCCTCCAGGTGCCTCTATGATGAGAGCTGGTTTGCCTCGACGAGGATAACTGGATAGGCCGTTTGGTTCGGGCAGGGCTCTGACTTGAGCTGACTTCAGAGAGGCCCCGTCTAGGGTTCTGACTTCTTTGACCTCGTTTCCCTGCGTTTCTCAGACAAAATGTTTCCCTCCTGCATTTCTCTGCGAAGGAGAGTCTTAGCCTTGCTCCTAAATACTGCCATGTGTGTGCTTCAGAGCTGTGCCGGGGTGCTTGAGTGATGAATTGGTATGAGCTGAATATCTCTGGACTAATGAATCAGGTTGTGACTTCGCTGCCAGCTCACTGACGTGACCCACGGTCGGTCTGGTGTCTGTGCGTGGCTCCAGAAAAAAACAGCCTGAAATTCCCCTCCCTGCTGCAAGACCCTCTCTGTGTACGGGAGAGCCCCTGTAGCAGCAACTCACCGCTCTGCTTACCAAGCTGCTAACCTAGGCAATGCGACCAGGCCTCTCATTGACTCCGGTAGTCTCCAGCTGCCGTAACAGCTGCATTGGGTTCTTGGCTGTGAGTGCAAATTAGAGCAGTCTCCAGGCTGCTCTAACCCACCCCAGAGGTTTTTGCTCACCTCCACGTCCGCGGCACTGAGCACTCAACCATAGCTGGGCACCTTATCTGTCTGGCTTTTAGCCAGAGCACTGGCTTTCTTTTATGTGTGCTTTTCTTTGCTTGTTGTTTGCCTAGAGGGATGAGCCAAGAACAGGCCCATCTCCAAGATCTGAGAGGTGCAGTGCAGAGGGTGGCTGTTACCATTCAGCCGGGACTCCGGTTCGGCCTGGCTTCGCAAGCACTGTGCCGTGGGAGAAGAAAGGAGTGTTTTATTTCAGGAGGATGGATGCTCAGTCACTTAAGCTCCGTAGCACCATCCACAACACACATTGAGGTGAATGATTCACCCTTTTTCCTCCTAGCTTGCCAGTAAAACCCACTCCAGTAAAAGGCAGCTGCTGAGAGGCCTAGAATATATGGTTAGTGGAGGGCAGCATTTGGTAGGTGCAGGTCTGGCCTGGAGGAAAGATGGAAGCATAGCATTGCCTTGCAGGAGGGTGAACAGAGCTGTCTCCCAGTGAGCAAAGCTAGAAAGAGCCATGGAGAGCTGTGCCCAGCCTGAGCAGGGAAGGAGGCTCTGCTCTTCCTCCTCCTCTGTTCATGGGAAGTCCACGCATTCAAATGCTTCCTTGTAAAGTTTGCCCGACCCCGGGGCCGTTTGCTGCAGGATGAGAGGTCGTAGAGAAGCAGACCCCTCCGGCGGTCATCCAGACCAGAGGGTCCCCAACTTTTTCTTATTGCATACTCGTTTCCGGATTTACCGATTGCCCACGTACCCCTACCAGTATGCCTCTTATATTTTAACCCCTTAAATGCCAGCGATTATTATGAAAACTAAATCCGCCATTACACAATTTCTCCCGCGTACCCCCCAGAGATGCCTTACGTGCCTCCAGAGGTACATGCACCACGGTTTGGGAACCCCTGATCTAGACCAACCCCCTGCCTGAGGCAGGATCATCCCTATCCAAACCATCCCATACAAACCTATTGTCCAAACCCTTATCAAGCCTGACACCACGCAAGACGTAACACCGAACCTGCCGCAGGTAAAGCAAGGGAAGCACGGCAGCCAAAGTCCTGCTGCTTTAAAGGTTGTTAATATATGCTCAAGAGATGTCAAGAAGAGGGTCTGTGGGCCATCCCCTCTCTGGTTCCTCGCTTTCCACAGCTGAGCCTGGTTATATGGAGGATCTACCCCACCAAGCCAGACTCCCCCCTCCATGCACACTGCTTGCCAACCCCATGCTCTTCTTTCTCCTAACAGTTTGAGTTGCACCTGTAAGGCAGGCCATGAAATCGCAAGCTTTTTCGTAATGGAAGCTGATACGTTATCACTATAATCCAATTAATTTGACATTGTAAATTGTTTAGAGCTGGGATTTACATAGATTAATCTTGGAGCTGTGCAAAAAGCGTGAAGGTTGCTTAATTCCCACCCGCTCCCCCCCAGTACATAACAAGAGGAAGGCCTAACAGATTATGAAGCTGAAGATCACGGCAGCACCGTTTCGGAGCATGTGAGGATAGTCCTTAGTTAACAGCGTCCCTGCAAAGCACGTGAGATTTCTTTTCAATCTTTCAGTCTAAAAACTGTGTGCGGGAGAGGCATCGCTTCTGCTTTTAAAAGCCTGAGTCACTTCAGAAGAAAACCAAGCCTCGGTGCCTGTAGTTACCATAGTAATTAGGCCTGGCAAGCTGGCTGGCTTCTCATGTTCTTGAGCAAACGTGAAAATCCTGCACAAAACGTTTAATCCTCTTGAGAGCCCTCGCCGGGAGAGACTTGCTCTGTGGCCTCAGAGACGCCCAGAAGGGCTCGGGGCCCCGAATCTGGACTTGCAACCCACGGCCAATGCCACGTGGAGGCCTGCGGAGAATTTTGCCTTTGCAAAGGCTCCAAGGTTGGGCCGTAGCAGGTGTCATTTTTGCTTTAGACTCTACAATTAGCAAAAAAACCACCGTGGCCTCCGAGCTTCGGGCCCTAGCAGCTGCTGGCCCAAGTTTTGCAAAAAAAACCCCAGATGCTCCCAGGAGGGGGTGGGTTCCCTAGGGAGTTCGTGGTCAGGCCTGGGGCTGCGTAGGGGAATTGGGGGTCTTTTCCTGCAGGGGGAAGCTAGGCAGAGCTGCCCGCATGGAGGGGCAGGCCCCGCGTGCTGTGCTGGGGGACTGTCCTCCCCTGTTCTGCAGCAGCACAGGTCTCGTGTTGCTTATGGGACATCTGTGCCTTCCCCCACCCCTCTGGGGGCAGGGAAGGTCAAAGCCCTGAGGCTGGGAACTGCAGACACGTGGGGAACTCGACCGGCATCCGTGGGAAACAGCAGTGGAAGGTCAGCGAGGCCGGAGGGAGACGTGGCCCGTACCCACCCACCACAAACTCGCCGTGGGGTTTCCTCCCGATCCTTCTGCGTACTAACCCCGGCCCTCCCTGAGGACGGTTTCCAGTCCCGTTCATGGAGCTCTGTCCAGAGCCCAAGCAACGTGCTGATGCGATGCCTCGGATGCTGCTCTCCTGCCGCAGCCCGTGCTTGTTTTCACTTCTGCTGCCTTCGCGCTGGGTCCTTGGGGTCTGCTGCACTTCGTGGCACATGCACCCGCCTGGTTTGTTCTTCAGGCCCTTGGCTCTGGGCAGCCCGCTCTACCTTCTTCTA